ATTAGATTGGATATTTGCCTCCAAAATACCCAAAGCGGTTAAAACTTTTTCCTCAAATGCAGGACTCCTTGAATTCCCTTGAGAATATGAAGATTGATTTGGAAAATAAGAGTTAGAAAATTAGTTTCCATGTGATGATTGGTATGATGATCTATAACCTTGGGAACTTTGGCCTTGCATTGGGGGCGGAACATACTTTCCTTGAAAACCACTGATGAGCGCTGAATATATGCATATTCGAGCCCCTAAATATATGTATGTTAAGGCCTAAAGTGATACTTCTATCCATAGTTAGACTGATTTATGTTTAATGTGTGTTTACAGGTACTTTCCTAGAGAAATGGTTAAAACCGGGACTTTATGATGATATCGAAGCTTACAGAGTCGTTGTCAGTCATTAAGAGCAAGCCGAGAGCTTAACTGGTGAAGTTTGAAGAAATTCGTTTAAGGGTCCAAAACAGCTCTCAGTTCTGGAAAAATCAGCTGCTGTCAGCCAAGCCTTAGCGGCACGCGTAGGGGGGTCACGCGCGTGCATGGGGCTTGCTCCTAGGCTGCGTCGACTCCAAATTTCATTTTAACCTCATTTCTTTGTCTGAACTTCGAATCAATTGATTTTTGCGTCTAAATTTATAATTTTTTCAATGTCTATCCAATGGTGCTTAGTAGCACCCATATATTTCTAAAAATTACCATTTTGCCCCTAGGGCTAAACTTGTCCGTTTTTAAAACGATGCTTCTACTTTGTTTTCCTTTTGTTTTCGTGGCCTCATGGGAAGTCATAATTGTGTCTTAGGGATGACGTACATCTCCCAAGACTTCGTTTTCGTGTGTATAGACCATTTTGCCCTTAGGGGCATAACTTGGTTTACTTTTGATCTTTTTCTTTGGCGTTCATTCTTGTCGAGTTCCGTGGTCTTATGGAAGGTCATTTTGGCATCTTGGAGATGTATTGCATCTCTAGAGACTTGGTTTCTATTTTTGCTTCCGCATTCGGGATCCATTATCGGGTCAAACTTCGGTTCATCACATGACACACTGGCTTGAAAAACTAGGGCCGTCACAAGTAGGGGCCCATGGTTATCCAAATTTAGCTTGGCACAACTCAGGAATAACAAAGTTATCATCAGTGACCCTAGCAGCAGCCTTAGCAGCAACAATAACCTTCGGGTCTTTCCCAACACCTACCATGAATTTAGTTTTCTTGGGAAGAGGAACTCCATCCTCCTTAGCATCAGGAGCACTTTTTTCCTTTAACGGCTTTATTCATTCCAGTAACTTCTTCTTCAACTCCTCAATTCTTTTGAGCTCCTTCTCATTAATCTCAAAATCAGCAAAGTCAGGAAAATGTATATTAGAGACGTTGGGGTGTCTACAACTTGTCCAAATAGGCTCTTTGGAGTCAAGAGAGTTTTTATCGAAGGGAGACTGCTCCTAACTTTATTCCTCAAAAATAATAACCTCTCCTTAGCAACTGAAGTTGGAAAAAAGACTTTATCCTTACCAAGAAGCTTATAAATAAAATGAAAAAGACTAGTTTTACAGATAAATAGCTGCAAGTTGCGGAATGAAAACTTGGGTAAAGTCTAATACCTACTAGAGCGAACTTTTGGGGCATTGAGAAGCAATCAGAAAATGGAACCTTCCACTCAACACCAACAACTAGCATTCATTCCTTCTAATGTTTCTAAGAAGAAGGAGTGTCAACACAAATTTTTTGATTAGGAGAGACGAGACTGAAATTATACCTACCAGGTTCGCTCTTAAGTTTACAAACTTGGTAACTTATTAGAAGGTTAATAAGATTAAACTTCAGATCCTTATCTTTGCTAATAATAAGGAAAGTTGATAGGATCCTAGAGAAGTTAGGGTTGAGTTGAACAGGGGCTAAGCCTAATTTATTGAAAACAAAGTGGTAAAAAGGGTAAAGATGGAACTTAAAGATGGTAAGATGGTCAGCCAAAAGGAGAATCTCATAATCTCCTACACCCTCGCTATCCTTAAAGCTGGATTCAAAAGGATAGGGTTAGAGTTTGACATTCTATGGGACCCCACAAGTTCTCCTGATGGTTTTAACATTAACAGATTTTCTTGGAACCTCAAAAACAAAATTTTCTACTACTTTAGAGGATGATTCCCCAGATTTGGAAGTTGATTCCTTTACTTTGGGGTTTGGTTCGGACCTTTGATTTGATTCGAAAGCATCAGAGGCGGTGGCCTTTGAATCCCTATGATCTTCACTCTCGGCACTCATGATTAAACATAAGGAATATAAAAAGCTAAAGATGCAAGAAGTGAAAGATGACTAACCTGAAGGGATTCACAAAAGGGGACGAGTGTAAGGCTTGGAGCAAAGTTTCAAGACAAAAGATCAAAATATGAAAATGAGAAGTCCTATATCGTCGCAATGCTTGAGTTTTGGTCCGCAGAATGTCAAGGATCAAGAGTATAATGTCATAGCCGCAATAACCACCCACTTTATTCCTTTCAAATTGGGACCGTTACCCAACTTTGGAGGGAATTGGGGGCAAAGTGTGGAGGGAAAATTTCCCACCAATCGGAATAAGACATTTGTACAGATTCCAATGAAGAAGAGACATGTGGACGGACCCATAGAAGAGAAAGAAACCTGAGCCCATCAGGTTTACAGCCCAGCACATTTAAGGATAGTCCAAGCCTAACACCAAGCTTGCAATTCTAAACAGAAAAGGAAACCAAAGTCTTATAAATCGAGTAAAATTAATAAAGTAAGAGAGTCTTAAGAGGAAAGAAAAAGAGAGAAAGAAAGATCTTAAATCAAGTAAAATTAATAAAGGTAAGAGAGTCCTAAGAGGAAGGAAAAACAAAGGAGGAAAGATCTCGAGGGATGTACAATGTAAGTGCTAAGTAAAATAAAACATTGTAATTATTATAAATAGGGGCATAGACCCAATAAAGTCGATAAGGAAATTCCATAGAGCTTTTCTAGTGTAGTTTTTGTTCTTATCATTTTCTGATGGTTGATTATGTTGCATTAATTGTATTAACGATTCCGGTTGCAAAATTTTTGCTCCTACAATATATAAAGATTAAAAGGGTGTTAATATATTTCAATCAAATGGGTATTAGTGAATTTTGTAATGTGTTGTGCTTAAAATAATAATAATAATAATAATAATAATGTGTTTATCATTTATGTTAAAGAAAAATAGTGCATTTGATTAAAAGGAGAGTGCATTTTTTATCCCCCTAAAATTTTTTTCAAATAATTTTGTTAAAAATAATTCAACTTTCAAAGAAACAGTGTTTTTGTCTAAAATATGCACTCCCTTCGGCCTTAAAATTTTCAGTGACAACCTTCTAAAAAAAACAAAGGGTGAACTACCTTTTTTATTTATTTTTATTTTTTTGACAAAATGAATTTGAGTGACATGCATTTAATAATTTATATATTGAGAATCATTAACATAAAATATTTTAAATTCCAAAATTTCTCATAAGTTTTTTCCTTTTATCAAGTTTATTTTAAACATTTCTATACGTCTGTTTTAGTTGCATTTATGAAAGAAAATAAAAAAATGGCTAAATTACAATGTGAGGAGGGAAAATACCTTCTCACCAATAAAGAGACAACACATCAGCGCATGAGAAATCCAATACAAATACAAAAACTATTCAACTTTCAAACTGGGCTTTAAGAAGAAGTTTGGGTCGGTGCAACCGGATATAGTGGGCTGGATACACTAAGAAAGCCCGAAACAATAGAGCTCCAGACCTAGATTACCAATAAGTCCATTTTGAGTAGTAATTTTAGTAATTTTATTAGAAAAAAGGATTATAATCTAAGGAAACCAAATCATGTAAATCCTTACAATAAGGATAGTATATTATGATTAAGATTCTTAAGGGACAAGTAATGTGAGTCTTAAAAGGACTCAATTACTTGTAACCTATAAATTACTTATAAATAGAGGCTAAGACCTTGAATAAAAAGATACAATATTTTGCTTAATAATTTGGAGCTTTGATTCAATAGTTCTATCATTTTTCAATTTGTATTTTTGAGTGTTGTGCGATAATTAGTTGACTTGTCAAAGTTGAACACTCCCTGAAGTTTGTTATATTGACTGTCATATACAAGTTAACTCTTTTTTGAACAATAACACCCTTATTAACTTTTGCACATAAAAATGCTATAAAATGTTTGAATTACCCTAACCTTTTTAAAGCCTTTTAATAAAAGAATAATATATAAAACTAAAAGACAATATTGCCCCTAATATTTAGGGGGAAATGAATAATGTTATTTAATTCTAAGGTGATGATATAATTAATATATATATATACTTGTTGGCTAACTACTATTATGAAAAAAAATATATATATATTCAAAGTAAAATCGTTGAATCTTCAATATATATATATATAAAAATTTGGCACTAATTAAGATTTAATTAATATATGCAAATATGCTTGTTACAGTATTTATGTTAATATTAGTTAAATAAAACATGAGGTAAATAATACTATTTTAACAAGTTTTTTTTTGGTTGGCACAAAACTCACTTGGGCAAAGCCCTTTCGGGACCCATCTCAGGCTACAAATCAGGGATGTTGTCAAACATATCTCAGTAACAATTTTAGTCGAGGGTTATAATGTATGTGTGTGTATATATATATATATATACATCCTTGAATAAGCATCTTGTTAATAATTTTTTTTTTTAAAATTCAATAATTAATAGTTGCACAATCACTAGCGCTTAAACTGCTATTTTGCAATTATTTCTAATTAATGTCTTTTGCCATAAATTAAGTTTTTCCTTCTTTTCAATCATGTCATTGGGTTTATCATGCTGGTTTTAAAAATTAATTCATAATTTAAATAGGTCAACTAACACAATAATATCAATTCAATGAGACAATTAAGAATGTCTTTGTTAATTTTATTAAAAAAATATGGATACATGCTCGTCAATACACAAATCTTATGGGATATGAGTGTGATTTAGAAAAATAAAAAAGCATACCATAGCCAAAATGAAGGGTTGACTCGACCTCGTTCCAACAAGTCTTCTTCGAAACCCTCCCGGCCGCTAACGGCGGCTCATATTCTTCCTTCTCCTTTTACACACTCATCAGTCCAGTCAATACTTTCTCTCTCTACATGTCTTCACTCTTCTTCTTCTCCCTCATCTAGACCCTAGACCAACCCCAATTTCCCCTCTCTCTCTATATATATCTGAATATATACACTTTCTCTCTGCATTTACATCTACCGAGAATCATGTCTAATCAAACATTTCAGGCCGTACTCGGAGCCACCGGTGGCTGCTTCGTAGTCTTCTTGATCCTCGCCATAATCTGGGCCATCTGCAAAGGAACCAAACGTCGAGCCCCACAGACCCGAGCCCGAACGGTCCCCAATTCGGACCTCTCCTCCGTCGCCGTCGTGGAGAGCGCCTCCTTAGACCCGTCTCTTAACCGGATTTCCATGCTGGAGCTCGTCGAAGCCACGCAAAACTTCTCCCCCGATCTCATCATAGGCGACGGCAGCTTTGGCGTCGTCTACAAGGCCCGCCTCTACAGCGGACTCACCGTCGCCGTCAAGAAGCTATCTCCTGATGCCTTCCAAGGGTTCCGCGAATTCAGGGCTGAAATGGAAATCCTAGGTAAGCTCCAACACAGGAACATCGTCAAGATTCTTGGGTATTACGACATCGGCTCGGACCGGGTCCTGATTTACGAGTTCGTCGAGAAGGGAAGTCTCGACGAATGGCTGAACGACACGTCGTCCTCGGAAATTGGCTCGTCGGCAGTCAGGTTGCCGTTATCTTGGGAAATTAGACTTAAAATCATTAGAGGAGTAGCTGTTGGTCTATTGTATATGCATAATTTAGACACACCTATCATTCACAGGGACATTAAGGCTAGTAATGTGTTGTTAGATTCAGAATTCGAGGCCCATATTGCAGATTTCGGGTTAGCTCGCCGGATTGAAGGGTCCCATGCGCACGTGTCTACGCAGGTGGCCGGGACGATGGGCTATATGCCGCCGGAGTACATACAAGGGGCCACGGCGGCGACGGTGAGCGGCGATATATATAGTTTTGGTATATTGATGTTGGAAGTTGCTACAGGGAAAAGACCCAACTTGCCATTTAAGGAGGACGATGGGAAGGTGATTAGGTTGGTTGAATGGACTAGGAAAATGGTGGAGCAGAATAGGCAGATGGAAATGGTTGATGCAAACATTTCAAGAGATGGGCTAAGAGAGGATGAGGTTGTGGAATTCTTTAGGATTGCTACTTTGTGCTCTAGCGAGTCCAGTAAGGACAGGCCTCCCATGAAAGAGGTTGTTGAATTGTTGAATCAAATTCCAACTTGAAATTGCATCGCAATGCTCTCTGCCTATGTGGTTTTTGATTGATCTTTGCTGCTTAGTTTGTTGATTGTTTTTCACAATTGCGCAAAGCAACGGAGGGAAACAACTTTTGCAATGTTCACTTTCTTCATGGTCTTGATCAACCGAGGTCATGAAAGGGATGTAAATAGCTTATGAAGGCAATTGACAGAGGTAAATTGCTTACTTAGGATTGTTTATAGGTTTGTGATGGTATTACTTAATTCTCTTTAGGTTTTTGAAGGGTGGATTGTTTATCATTGTTGTCTCATTATCATATTCAACAATATTCAAGTGGTACTTGAGTTTCTCCCATGACAAATGATATACAAGATATATTTTTCCACCAATACGAACATGATATCATGATTTTAATAGTGTTTGGCTCCGTTCATTTGCAGTACAATAGGCAAAACTTTTAATTCATTGGCATTATGATATGATGGAGCTGCCTTGTTGGCTTCTTGTCTCTCAAATCTCCCCTGTTTCTTTAATGACAATTGAATGACAGATTCAAAAATTAATAAGGAGTGTATATAATCTAGGAGGAGTTGGTATTGCACAATAGTTAATTCATTCTATATTATTAGAATCATTTAGCTTTATTTGATCTCCATGTTTTGGCAGGTAGAGTTATTTTACATCTAATTAGTCGGAGCTATAGCATGACTAAATAATGCCTGTAAAGATATGAGTGTGTTTGTAGTATAGAAGTTGCCAGAAATTTCTCTAACAACATGATCGGAAGATGAAATAAAGAAGAAAATAGCACCAGAATCTTTAACTGAACTTCAAAGTTGCATCATTTTCTAGCACAAATTTTGGATGAAAAAAAAAGAAGATAAATTTGCTGAAGTGTAGTCCAGAAAACCAAGGAGAAATACAGTGAACACTCAAATTTCTAAAACAAAGCCAAATGGATATTATCCTAGGAATATGAACAAACTAATAAGTACAACCTTCATCACAACGTATAAATTTTGGCTGATGGGAAGATTGGCAAATGGGTTAACCTTGATGAATTAAGTTAGTAGATAAAAGTATTAAAAAAACTAAACCTCATACTACGTACTAGATAGAGAGGGGATATTAATTTCACGAGTTATAGTTGTAACAATTAATAAGTACCTAGAAACTTCATCCCACAAGGGACCCTTCTGATTAGCCTCTTTGAACTTGGAATCAAGGTTGGATCTGATCTCAAGAAGTGTGTCTCTTGTCTAGGCCACCTTCCAGTCCCACCATCTCTTCCAAGACCACCACCCTCCATGTTCTCTAACCCATTCAAAGTACTATTAGTAGATATAGTGGTAGTAGTAGTTGACTCGGACTGAAACTGATCACGAAGCACCACCAGAGGGACGACCATTTCATGACCCACCTGACGACCCGGACTCATCATCACCAACCATCTCATATTGTTGTGCCTGTGTCAGATTTCTGTGACCTGAGAAGAGCTCTCCGGTTGCTTGGATCGCCGGAAAATTGGGCCTCCCTTCTGCGAACTGCCTGAAATCCGCCATTCCATACTGGTCCTCCATTTCCATGGATATATATATATATTTCTCACATATAAAGCCTGCTTTTATAGAGAGAAAGAGAGAGAAAGGGGGGTTCGGGGCAATGGTGAAAGGAGCGGCAGATTCGGATCGTGTCGCCCACGAAAAAGCTTTGAATTTAGGGAGAGAAAAACCAGAAACACTCCTTGTTAATAACTTGTGAACCAAAACATGGAGATCAAATGATGGCGGATAAGATAACTGTTTTTTTTTTGATAAGTGATGGTGGATAAGATAACTAACTCGCGTGTGTACTAAGCTTGATAGATAGGTGCTTTCTATTGTGCTTTGGGAGAACTAGGTGTCTGTCTACTGAAACCTACAGGCAGGTGTGCTTGGCAACAGCGGTAGTAGTTAACATTTCTTCAATATTTCTATGGGTAAAGTAGGTTAAAAAACCATTACTGTGACAAAAATTTAGTTTATTTAACTTAATTAACAATGAATACTAATGAAACTGTTTTTTTTTTATTTTTTATTAAAGAAAAAGACTTCGAAGAGAATATAAGAAAGATGATATTGAGTTCGTAAGGTAGGCACATTAAGACCTGTTCTCCTTTGTGTCGTTAACTCTTCTCAGTCCATTCTTTTTTGAAAATTAGAATATAGTAGTAATTAACTGCGACTGCCCACGATATGTGAAATTCTTCCAAGAAGATTAGTTGGCTTGAAGAATGTTAACTTTCAATGGAGCTTTTTTATGTCAAGATATATTAGTTTGGTAATATCAATGTACTCAATGAAGGAAAGCCCTTTGCGGCCCTTCTTTTCATGTTTGCTCTTTTTGGGTCCTTGCTTTGAGTTAGAGAGTCTTGCATCAAAATTCATAGATTCCACATTGTGACATAGTTGATAGTTCCATTTTTAGTGACTCATAGGTCATACATTTCATTTGAATAATCATTCAAAATTAAAAATACAACAAAAAACTTATTTCTTCTTTGGGATGACCAAGCTGAAAATTATATGTGAACTACTTGCAATATTTTTGTTTCTTTCGAATTTTCAGAAGACTAAAATCTATGTGTTAAGGTATTTGAAGCTTAGTAGGAAAAAATATTGTCCTCTATAATGTTCCTTCTTATTGCATCAATCCATGTTTCTAAATTGCTTTCCTCCTTTTGATTGTTAGTTGTGCAATGCAAAAGTGGTTGTGAAAGGTTTGATCTTTAGATGAAAGACCTAGAGGGGGTGAATGATTTTTAGATAATTTTAATTTCCCCAAATTAAACATAAATCAAGCACAAAAAAACAATAAATATATTATAGAAAACTAATATAAGAGATGACACCAAGAATATTTCAACGTGGAAACCTTGATGAGTGAAAAATCACGGAGACTAGACGTCTTTGGCAAATCAATCTATTACGCTTTCCGCAGCGCCTCGAGGTCAGATCTAGTACGCAAAACACACGCACACGCAGAAAGAATGCGGCCTCCACACTTTTTCCGAAGGATGAGGTTGTAGTTCCAGGAATATTTGCTTGGCCATATTAGGATACGGCCACCAACCCACACCAGAGTGGCAAGGCCGGTCCCCAAGTCGCAGGTTTAGACCGACCCCAATGGTCTTCGCACGCTTGTGACGAGGAGACACGCCCAACAAACCTAAATCAATCACACAAAATAATAAATATAATGTAGTAAACTAAAGTAAGAGTTAATACCAAGAAATTTTCAACTTGGAAACCTCGACGAGGGAAAAATCACAGAGACTAACTGCCTTTGGCAAATCAATCCATTACGTTTCCAGCAGCGCCTCGAGGTCAGATTAAGGAGGCAAAACACACGCACATGCAGAAAGAATGCGGCCTCCACACCCACTATGAAGGACGAGGTCGCAGCTCCAGGAATATTTGCTTGGGCAGAGCAAGATGCGGCCATCGACCCATACTAGGGCAGCCAGGCTAATCCCCAAGTTGTAGGTTTAGACCGGCCCCAATGGTCTTGCCATGCCTGTGGTGAGGGGACTCGTCCAGCAGCCCCTAAGCTTCAAGCCCAAATATTGCCCTTGGAAGAAATTTTTTCTGTCATTTTCTTCCTATAACAATTCTTCATATTTAGCCACTTTACTGGTCAATTCAAATAAATATCAAAACTCCGTTCCTTCAAACTTCTTTCGAAGCTCTAAATCAAGACCATTGAGGGCTAGCTTTATGTATTTTTTTCTAGAAGAGCAACATGACACTTATTGCTCTTTTAAATCTAGAAAGGAAAGTCTCTATAGATTCTCCTCATAACTAGTTGAGTCTGGATAGGTCGGCCATGGATGCCTCTGGCTTAAACCTATAGAACTGGTTACGGAATGTCTCCTAAAACTGCTGCCAACTATTGATGGAAATTAGGTGGTAGACCAATCTACCATTAGAATGCGTAGGATGTTAAAGAATTAGGGAATATGTGCATTTTCAGCTATGGGTTGGCTCTTGCTTCCCCATACTAGACTGTAAAATCTTAGATTGCTCACCTTCTTCCCTAAAGTTGCAAATTCGGGTACTTTGAAACCTTTGATATACTACAACTTATCTACAAATTTGGGAACGACTTCCTATACGGATCCCTATACATAGGTTTGCTGACCCTCCTCATGGCATGGCCAAATTTTTACTCAAAGATCTTCGCATGTCGACCATGATTAAGTAGTTCATGTTGATTATTTTCTGGCCAACCCCAACCATCCCTTGCCTCTAAAGGCCATTCGTTGTGCGGGTTTGATTTAAATAAGGGGTTGTTTCTCCACCTAACTTGATTCCCTCCTTGTTCAAGAGGTTCCCTCAACTGAGTTGCCCTTCGAACTAGCAAAGGTGGGGTCACTTATATGTGACCTTGATTGTTGGAGTATAGGTTGCTAAATATTTGGGGGTAGAATATTCTGTTGAGCTCGAGGTATTGGTAGAATATATGGCTTATTTATTTGCAGGTTAACTATAGAGGTAATTAATAAACTATCAAGTGGCAAAACATAAGTTGAAGATTGTCATGCCAAACCTGAGGCGGAAGTTGTTTAATTAATACTGGTGGAGGATTTTGTACTTGAGGCTACCCTTATAGTGGAACTTGCATATGTGGTGGTTGTGGCTGCGGTTGCACTAGTGGTGGAGCTAACGTTGGAGGTGGTGGCTATGTTTGTGTGGCTGAGGATCTAGCAATGGGGGTGGTGCCTGTTGGAGAGCCTGAATCTATTATTGGGAGCTAGCCTATTAACAGGGATGACCGATTAAGCTCCCATTCCTTTTCCATTAGAATTCTATGTAGGATGAAGTCCCTCTAACATTTTCTTTACCCAAATTCGCAACGCCCTCCTTGCAGTCGGACCACCTTGCCTACCCGATAGAGACTTGGGCAACCTTAACCATCCCTTGCCTCTAAACGCCATTCGTTGTGTGGGTTTGATTTGAATAAGAGGTTGTTTCTCCACCTAATTCAATTCCCTCATTCAGGAGGTTCCCTCGGCTGAGTTGTCCTTCGTATTAGCAAAGGTGGGGTCACTTATATGTGATCTTGATTGTTGGAGTACACGTTGTTGAATATTTGGGGGTAGGATATTCTGTAGCGGTATTTGATAGAATATGAGGTGGCAAAACATAAGTTGAAGATTGTTATGCCAAACCTGAGGTCGAAGTTGTTGAACTACTACTGGTGGAGGATTTTGCACCTGAGGCTGCCCTTATAGTGGAACTTGCATATGTGGTGGTAGTGTGGTGTGTCGCCAATACCAAAGCACAACAGTGTGTAGTGTGGCCAAGTTTGAATTTATAGAATGCCACTACCACTACTAACTATTAATGTAACTAGAGTGAGTAGGGATCGTCCCAAGGGAAATGAGCGGTACTTTTAGAATCAATGATGGATTAGTAGGTTGAATGATCAAAAGATAG